CTCAAGGATACCACAAATTCAAAATCTCTCGAATGATAGGATTTCAGAGATTTTGAGATATAATTCGTTTGGTATTGTAGGTAAATCGAAAACATTTCTTTAATGGGTACATCCACTACGGGTCTTAAATACAGGTCACTTTCGCTGACTGCTCACAACACAGGTCACCATGCCTATGAAAGAACACTTATTTATTAACCAGTAACGCCTACCTTTCGAAGCCAAAGATTGATGGCGTAAACTTGTATTTTATACCTCGCACACTGGAATAAGAAACATATTGAAGGTCTTACCTTTCAAAGGTAAGCATATCTGTCACTAGGGATTTAACCACGCTAAAAGCCAACTACAAACTCGGCTTCTGTGTAGAGATGGATGTTCTCGACATGCTTTTTATGATATATGACTCTAAGGCCGGTAAGGGGTAGAGAACGCGAAGAAAATTTCCAGCAAATGTTAGCATGAATTTCATCCGATTACTTCCAGTAAGCAAACATCTACTGAGAACCTGGACCGTTTCGTTGTTTTCACTTCATGTCTGCTTCATTTAAGAGTCTTAAGGCTAAAAGCGGCACAACGATGACCTCTGCCCGGACGAGAATTTTTCTGCAGACGTCATTGGACCAGAAATTTATCGCTTTGAATCTAAAAAGATAAAAAAATTAGATAATACTCTGGACGTACTTCATGAACACTATCACTATTGAAAATCTCACAGAGCACAGGCCATGCATTAAAAGGACATCAGTCGTTTCGCTACTAATCAGTTTTCATACGAACTCACCTTTGTATACTCCTTGTCCAAAATACCTTGAAAAAGATAAAGATCCCCTCTTTTAATATCCTATAACTCGCAAACCAGCCACAACTACTGGAATTGAGAGTCGGGCTATTGAGAAGATGTTTGGGGGAAGGGGGAGATGTGGAATCACACCTTCACTATACCATGTGTGGCATGCGACAGACCATTTCGGCCATTGCAGTATGAGGCACTTGAAGCAGCGAAAATGGCAGGAAAATGCGTGTTTCTACTTCCCAGGCCAGTTGCGGGTTTTAACTTATCGAGAAGATCAAGGTGGGTGGTTTGTAGCTCAGTTTTTGTTTTAAATATTCATCTTCATTTCTTTGCTTAAAACTATTTGTCGGACTGTTACCACAAGTATGTTGATTGTTAAAACGAATTGAAGTCTGAAACTGAAACTCTTTCTCATAATTTTCCACTTCTAGATTCCAAACTATGGCTGAAGCAAGGTAAGTCTGTTGCACTGTCATTTTGAAGAAATGACAATTCACTGTCGCTTTTTCAGTTTCTTCTCTGCATTTACAGTTTTCTACAATTTATATACAATGTAAACATTTTTTGTATTTTTTTAGTGAGCGAAGTGGACCTTCAGGAGAGCTGTAACTGACATTATAACTTCGTAAAACAGGCTTTCTACCGTTCCTGGCAAATATTTCTTTGCCTTATAAAAGTCATAAAGTATAACATTTTGAGAATTTAATAGTGTGCTTGCTGTCTTTGCTTTTTACTACCCTTTGAGTGTTTTCAATGACATCGCACCTGTTAAGCTTACTGTTTTTATTTTTTACATATTTTTTTCGTAATAGGTTGTGCCTACCACTAGATGGCTGAAGAGAGCCCTGCCGATAAGAGATAAGCTTCCTTTTGTTTTGGTCTTTTGTTAACTTGTTAAAGGGGTTTTCTTTTCTTTCCCGTATACACTTCTGTAAAATTAAGAATTTGTTCATGCTTAGCTTGGGTATATCGAGTTATGGATGCGCGCAGGAAGTTAGGAGAGCACGAAAGATGCGTAACAGTTGCAAGAGGAGATAGCCGAGTGCAACTCTAGCTTCTTGAGTGCTCTCCAAACTTCCCAAGTGCATCCATAACTCAATATACTCACAGCTAAAAGCATGAGCAAATTCTTCTATAACATAACTGACAAAAACGCTTGTTTTTTGATCAAGTACAAAATTCTTGGAACGCGCAACACAATAATAAACGCTTGTATTGGCTGATTACAAACACGCCACAGTGGTCTAGTTTGAAAGAAAATTCTTTCTGTAAAACTGCGAAAGAAAATTTGCTTATTTATTCGTTAACAATCAATGAAAACTTAAAAGAAACAAAGGTAAAAGAGTCTTAAAGTCCACCTAAACTTAAAATACTCACATGTTCATAAGAAAACGTGGAGTATATGGATTAGATTTGCTTAAAAGATGTTTATGTTTTGCTTGGGGAAATCCAATTTTTGTAGCGAAGACGACTGTCATCCTACTTTAACCTTAAATTCATTTACGAACAGTGGCTGGTTATTATGGCTTCTTGAGAAGAAGACCTGGCAGCGTTGTTTTTGTGAGTAGTAAATTTACGTCTTTCTGTGTAATTTCTCTTGTTATCGCAAGAGAAATTTTCCTTTGCTTCGGTCGGATTGTTCGGCGATAACAAAAGTGCATAATTTTTCGCTTTCACACTTTATAATGAACTTGTTTTGTTAAGGGTAAACAAACATTAAAAACGGNATCGAGTTATGGATGCGCGCAGGAAGTTAGGAGAGCACGAAAGATGCGTAACAGTTGCAAGAGGAGATAGCCGAGTGCAACTCTAGCTTCTTGAGTGCTCTCCAAACTTCCCAAGTGCATCCATAACTCAATATACTCACAGCTAAAAGCATGAGCAAATTCTTCTATAACATAACTGACAAAAACGCTTGTTTTTTGATCAAGTACAAAATTCTTGGAACGCGCAACACAATAATAAACGCTTGTATTGGCTGATTACAAACACGCCACAGTGGTCTAGTTTGAAAGAAAATTCTTTCTGTAAAACTGCGAAAGAAAATTTGCTTATTTATTCGTTAACAATCAATGAAAACTTAAAAGAAACAAAGGTAAAAGAGTCTTAAAGTCCACCTAAACTTAAAATACTCACATGTTCATAAGAAAACGTGGAGTATATGGATTAGATTTGCTTAAAAGATGTTTATGTTTTGCTTGGGGAAATCCAATTTTTGTAGCGAAGACGACTGTCATCCTACTTTAACCTTAAATTCATTTACGAACAGTGGCTGGTTATTATGGCTTCTTGAGAAGAAGACCTGGCAGCGTTGTTTTTGTGAGTAGTAAATTTACGTCTTTCTGTGTAATTTCTCTTGTTATCGCAAGAGAAATTTTCCTTTGCTTCGGTCGGATTGTTCGGCGATAACAAAAGTGCATAATTTTTCGCTTTCACACTTTATAATGAACTTGTTTTGTTAAGGGTAAACAAACATTAAAAACGGAGCACACTATACAAGTTGGACATTTTCCGACACAGACCAGTTTGTGGTTTTTTCCCACTTCAATGTCAGTCTTTACGGTAGACTTTTCAATGAATCGTTCAGGCTCTATTATTTGCGAAACATCTTCACCGCTTTTGCTGTTGGTTTAAGTGGTTAGAACGAAGCTAAATTATCATTGCCGTCAATTTTTGGGTACTTAGGAAAAGAGACGAAAAACACAGCTGTACACGTCATCTTATTTACGCAAGCCTGTGTGTAAATAAAGATTTTGTTCATAGCGGCTCAATAGGACTTATACAGGCCAAGCACGCCCGCTATGTTATGATGTGTGTTTTAGCATAATTCTCATCAATGAACTTTGTAAAAACGTTTGCGTAGCCGGTTCAATTGCAAGTGGGATCAGATCACTAAGAAGAGGAAGAGGAAGGAGTAAGTGATAGATACGTCCGGGCTTTTATGTAACTTTAAAGAATATTAGCCCCTTTGAACGACGCACATCAACCGGAGTTGATTAGTGCATCTTTAGGCAGTAGTTCCAGAAAATTAGTCTCCAAAACAGTTTAAGACACTTAATGTCAAGGCATATTAATACAACGAGACAGGCCTGACTTTAGTATTTAACAATATTAGGGGGAAATTGCAAAGTGAACTTGTGCCACTTGACCATGTTTTTCCCTTTACTTGTATTTGACTGTTCTTTACTTGTACAACAAATAAATAGTTTCACGTTATTTTGACCACGACAATTGTTTTAGACTGTTTCTACCAGTTGATTTTCTCTTTAAAAAAAGGCACAACTCCAGTCTTCCCATTACAGTATTAGGCCCTGTTTACAAGGTGGGAGGGTAACCCTGGTGCTAGGGTTACCCTCTTGATAGGGTTACCCTCCCTGCCTTGTAAACACTCAGCTACGGATAACTTGCCTAACCGGATTAACTTTCCGCTGTCATGCGTGACCAGTAATTGTACCATTTTGAATGGTATTATCCAATTTCTGAGCTTAATTATAAACACCGGAATCATAACAAGTTATTTTCTGTCTACGATGATAATTTTTCCCTTTTTTAGTGAATTTCACGTGTTTTCCATAGAAAACTTCAAGATTATTTCAAATTTTGGACCGTTGCAAAGAATGTCACGCATCACGATACATGTCAGCAAAGCTGCTGAAGTTGAAACGGACGATAGGTTAACCCTACCTGTGAAAATTGCTTGTAAACCTGACCCGCTTGCTAGGGTAACCCTAGCACAAGGTAACCCTCTCTCCTTGTAAACAGGTCCTTAGCAATTGGAATTCCGCCAAGGAGGGTGATTTGAAAATAGGGACCTTAAGCATCGACAACAAAATAAATGACGACGACGTTTGTAACCCAAGGAGGATTGGGTCAAGGCTTTCGTTCTTGGCGGGAAAAAGGAAAGTTAAGCAGTGTGTTGTTTTTAGGAGATAACGATTTTTGGTTCTTTGACAAGTAGCTCTAGCTATGGCTTTCAAAAACGTCCGAAATCTGCTTCTAATTAATCACAACGATGGCTTTATCAATGATGATGAATTTGTTGCTCTTTACGACCTCTATGCATTGAAAAACCTTGACTTTCCGTATGATTTGTACGCAGCTTTTGACCGGGAAGAGCTTGACGAGTCTGAGAGTTTTGCAGAGTTTCGCTTTGGAAAACGAGATACACCAATCCTGAAGGAAGTTTTGTTAATCCCTGACACGATTACCTGCAGTCAGTGCTCTGTTTGTGATGGACTAGAAGGTCTCTACAGACTGCTAAAGCGGCTTTCTTACCCATGCAGATATGGAGACATGGTCCATAGATTCGCTAAACCTGTTTTAGTTCTTAGCATGATCACCAATCAAATGATTGACTTTGTGTATAATGTTCACGGGAACAGAGTACTAAACTGGAATCATGAGGTCCTTAGTCCTGTCAACCTGCAGACTTGTGTTGATGCTGTGCCAGCCAGGGGAGCCCCACTGCCCAATTGTTTTGGCGGTACCGTTAGGCCTATATCAAGACCTGAAGAACATCAGCGACTTCTTTACAATGGGCATAAAAGGGTTCATGCCCTGAAATTTCAAAGCATTGCTTTGCCAAATGGCTTGATCGGAAATCTATATGGCCCAGTTGGTAAGTTACAAAACAGTAGAGGCCACCAGCTTTAAAGAAGGGATGTGACCAAATGTTTATTTCTGTAGACCTTGCACTTATTTTAAAAAAGGGAAAATATTGACAAAAAATGAAACATTTTACAAGGCTATAGGACAGGCTAAATTTATTGATTTTCTTATTCAATAACAATTACCAAGGTGAGATCACTTCAACAGTTTATTGTGAGCATAGCCAGAGGGAAGGGGGGAGTGTCCCCCCTCCCCCCTTGAAATAAATATAAACTCAAGATGAAATTAGAAAAAAGTTTCTGAAGTACTCATATAATCTACAGCTTATGTAACCCAATTGTCAGCAACCTTTACTCTTACACTGATACCTACCATCACCTACCTATTTTTAGAAGGAAGAAAACATGATGCAGGAATGCTTGCCGATTCACAGCTACTACACGACCTTCACCGGTGTGCCTACAATCCAGCTGGCCAGGCAGTCTGTGTTTATGGTGACCCTGCCTACCCCCTTAGAGTGCAGATGCAAGGACCCTTTAGATATGGTGTATTGACCCCACAAATGCAGCAGTACAATACAGAGATGAGTGCTGTTAGAAGTTCTGTTGAATGGCTGTTCGGAGATGTAATCAACTCGTTTAAGTTTAATGACTTTAAAAAAGATCTGAAGCTTTTCCTCAGCAGTGTTGGAAAGATCTATATTGTTTCTGTCATACTGCGTAATGCAATGACATGCTTGTATGGTAACACATGACCTCAGACTTTTTTGACCTTAGGCCACCTACTTTTGACACATACTTTGGCTAGGAAACAACTCTATTGCCCAGTTTACATTGCCTTTGATAAAATATGAATCAAAACTTTATAACTGCAGTTAACCATGGTAGATATTTGTATGCTGATAAGTTAAAGACTATTTCTCACACCATTGAACTCTTTAAAGAGAAAATGAATAATAATAAAATTAAGCACAATTTTGTTACTAAAAGTTTTCTATTTTTCAAGAAATGTTATTGTAACTATTGATTTATTTCCCAACTTTATTTTCCATTTTTCAGAAAACTGTGGTTAATTAACTTAAATTAATCTTATAAATAAAATAAAAGAGGTTTATCAAAAAAAAAAATTAAGCACAACATTGCAGAGTCAGGCTATTTTTTTGGAATTCCTTAAACAAACACTTTACAAATATAGGAGCCCAAGGGCCTGTTTGCTGGAGGTTGGGCTGGCACTAACCCAGGATGTTTACAGTGGCGACTTAATGAATTTTTACAGAGTCAACCCTGGGTGAAAGCTACCCCAATCTAACATGACTGAATGAAGATACCCATGCTTCTTTTAGAGATTTTTCCTTGATGATGCTCGAAATTGGCTCAATTTCTAGAGTGGACTCACTAAATGTAAGAAATACTATGAGCTAATTACATAAAAGCACAGCTAACCAAACAATAGAAAACAACAGACCTAGCTATAAATACTATTTTTAAGATTTATTTTCTGCATTTAGCGACTGTACATTAGGGGAAAGTTTGGGCATTTAGGCCCCTTTGTACAGAAAAACATCTGTCTATTAGCAAAAACAATGTTTTATTTCTTCTTGAAACTTTACAAAAATCTCTATAGAAAAGAAATATAATTACATCCATCAACAATGCTCTTGTAGATAACTAAAGTCATAACAAAAGTCAACTCAACAAGTTCAGGGCTCTTCCACATTCATAAGGTTCGAGCTTAATGCCTTTTAATATTTTCCATCAATGACATAAATACCTTGTTTTGCTAGTCAAGCATAATTTGAAGGTTTTGCTGTTGAAGCTGCTGCTGTTGCTGCATCGTGTTGATCAGGGCTGAGAACATGGTCTGTTGATGCTGTGCAGCCTCCTCTTGTCTAGTTTCTGCTAGATCAAGCTCTCTTTTTCTGATGGCTAACTCTTCCTTTTTCAATTCTCTCTCTTTCTCTGACTTCTCAGCCAAAAATACGATTGCATTAGAGGTGCTCCTCCTCAATTTAACTTTTTTTGGTTTCTCGCCACTATCATCGCTCTTTCTAATTGCAATTGTCTGAAGAGCCGCCTGTCTGATTTCCTCTGCTTTAGTTTTTTCTTTCTCATCTTTTGCCTTCCTCTCATTTCTCAGGGCGTCACTCTTTTCTTCTACACTTTTCTCTCGCTCTCGAATTTCCTCCAGCAAGGCATCGAGCTCTGTGAGCTCGGGGACATCGATCCCAGATGCTTTCTCTTCTTCTCTTTGCTTTAGTTTGTGCCGGGAGATCAGGAGTGCATATCAATCTCTCACTACCCTTGCTGTAACCCTAAATTCTGGAGTCTTCAGAGAATTCAAATAGGCTGCGATGCTTTCCCATACTTTCCCTCTGTCGCTGCTTTTCGGTTTAAAATTGTAAGGTTCACTCGTTACAGCTTCGTGAAGCATCAAGACATCATGGTCTTCCGTCCAAACAAAATACCTGGACTTACTCGCTGTCAAAAGAACACAAAAATATATATTTTTACAGCAAAACTGAATATTTATATCTTGAAGCCAACTTAAAATTAGCACAATGACATGCAGATCTAAAATAAGAAGAACACGACTTCAAATATACCAAAATTCTCCTTAAAGAGATCAGTACAGAAAAACTTACATTTCTTTTGAACCGGTTCTTGCTCGGCTGTAGAAATGTCGCCGGCCATGGTTTCGGATGCTTCTGAAAGAGAGTCATTTTAGTCTGTTAAAAATAGCTAAACTGTTAAACATTTGACTTCCGCTGGTCTGCAAATAATACATCAAACAATCATTATAACAAAACGTGGAAACAGATGATTATCAGCATAAAAAAGTTTAGTTGTTTACTTACGTTTTCACCAGAGCAAAAACTTGCTCAGATTCAGTCGTCAACGAAAGGATGGACGACGTTTTGACAACCTAACGCATGCCCAGAAGGTTCGCGCGGGAAAGTTCCACTTCCGGTCGGCGTCGTCGTCCCATTTCGTCGTCGATGCTTAAGGTCCCTAATGTTTCACAAATGCATAATCTAGTGTTATGTACCTTTCAAACCTTAATTTGTAATAATCTGTGTTTGTTAACAGGGGGTTACAGGTGCAATGGTAAGGGGCACACAGCCCATGAGTGCCCCTCGCGAGTTATAGAAGATGAACTCCAGGGTAAGGAGGTGTATTAGTGGGGACTTATGTTACTGTTAGGGCTATCCAGTGATATTTAATAATAATTGTAATAGGAATAAGTGGAGTCCAACTTTGTCTGTACATGAGTGAAGTTCTCTTAATAACAAACGGTGATGGTTATACCAAAGGTTATCGTGTGTAAAGCTTATTGAAGACTAGGACCTCACAAATATTCTGAAAGCTTTTTGCTCACAGTGAATAGAAAACACATTCGAGGGCATGGCAACAATGACCTGACCTGTCATCCAATTCAGTACTTATGCATGATGTGTACTTCCAAACCCTATATTAAGGGTAAAATCAAGACAGCTGATAGACAGCCCAGTCAAACTAGATACTGTTTTTATAGCTGGACATTCATATTAAGTGCTACAACTGTAGGGGGTGGGGCCACGCAACAAGGGTAAAATAGTTATGTTATATGAAAATTATCCATGACTAAAATACTGAGAGTAGACCTGCAGGTTTCTCCAAACTCATGAATGCTTGCCGATTCACAGCTACTACACGACCTTCACCGGTGTGCCTACAATCCAGCTGGCCAGGCAGTCTGTGTTTATGGTGACCCTGCCTACCCCCTTAGAGTGCAGATGCAAGGACCCTTTAGATATAGTGTATTGACCCCACAAATGCAGCAGTACAATACAGAGATTAGTGCTGTTAGAAGTTCTGTTGAATGGCTGTTCGGAGATGTAATCAACTCGTTTAAGTTTAATGACATTAAAAAAGATCTTAAGCTTTTCCTCAGCAGTGTTGGAAAGATCTATATTGTTTCTGTCATACTGCGTAATGCAATGACATGCTTGTATGGTAACATGACCTCAGACTTTTTTGACCTTAGGCCACCTACTTTTGACACATACTTTGGCTAGGAAACAACACTATTGCCCAGTTTACATTGCCTTTGATAAAATATGAATCAAAACCTTATAACTGCAGTTAACCATGGTAGATATTTGTATGCTGATAAGTTAAAGACTATTTCTCACACCACTGAACTCTTTAAAGAGAAAATGAATAATAATAAAATTAAGCACAATTTTATTACTAAAAGTTCTCAATTTTTCAAGAAATGTTATTGTAACTATTGATTTATTTCCCAACTTTATTTTCCAATTTTCAGAAAACTGTGGTTAATTAACTTAAATTAATCTTATAAATAAAATAAAAGAGGTTTATCAAAAAAAAAAAATTAAGCACAACATTGCAGAATCAGGCTATTTTTTTGGAATTCCTTAAACAAACACTTTACAAATATAGGAGCCCAAGGGCCTGTTTGCTGGAGGTTGGGCTGGCACTAACCCAGGATGTTTACAGTGGCGACTTAATGAATTTTTACAGAGTCAACCCTGGGTGAAAGCTACCCCAATCTAACATGACTGAATGAAGATACCCATGCTTCTTTTAGAGATTTTTCCTTGATGATGCTCGAAATTGGCTCAATTTCTAGAGTGGACTCACTAAATGTAAGAAATACTATGAGCTAATTACATAAAAGCACAGCTAACCAAACAATAGAAAACAA